CACACGCACAGGGCGGTGGGAACATTACATCTATCACGGTAAGAAAACTAAGTAATATACTTGGAGCCTTGATCGAGATTCTTCTGACATTGATTTGTGTGTAGTTGATTCAATCTCTTATCAACAATGTAGAATAGAGAAAATATTGTTGTCAGACGATGACGTAGAACTGCTGATATGCTTGCTTAGATCTTCTTTTGTTTGGTTCTGTTCTTTCTTTATCTTTTTTGTGCATGGGAGGGGTGGTTATGGTTCGTTTAGTTGTTATTAACTAGTTTGCTTTTTCTTTTTGCAGACTGGTGAAATATGCCTTGATATCTTGAAGAACGCATGGAGTCCAGCTTGGACGCTGCAGTCTGTTTGTCGGGCTATAATTGCGTTGATGGCTCATCCAGAACCTGACAGTCCATTAAATTGTGATTCTGGTAATCACTCAGTCTGATTCCTTTCGCTACCTGGTGGAAATAATGTTTATCTTTGCAACTTAATATCCTCACATTGGTGGACCAACAGTCTCTCTTTCTCTATCCATCTCGCTCACTCTATGCACTTGTACACATCCAGAGAGTTCCTGTGGTTGTGATTCCAAAAACAGAATTTTTTTCAGTGGGATTATTTGAAATTTTAAGTTATATACTCTGTACAACTAAAGAGTCTTAGCCCTTGATTGGTCCACATTATTTCTAAAATACATTTTTCTCTCTTATTTTCAACCACACATTTTTCAATAAAATAATATTACACGTAAACCCAAAAATTTTCCTTATTTTTTAACTATACATTCTTCATCAAAAATGCATTATTTCCAAAAAAAATGGGGCTCAACCATGCTCTTAGTATCCATAAATATTACCTTTTCCATTTTATATATTTTATCCTTTTGCTAGCTGTCATTGTAAATCACAGTTGAAGTTATAATTCCCCATACTTTCAGTAATGGTGTATTCACAGGGAGAAATAGCTCAAGGCATAGGTTCTCCATAACCACTTATATTTTTCTTTTGCGGTTCTGTTTTTCATTTCCCCCCTCTAATTTGTTGTTGCTATTTTGGGCTGTGTATTCGTGCCTTTTACTGTTAATATTCTTCGTTCTTTTTGGTTTTTGGTGTTCTTATATGCTTATTCTGTGTATTTGTTGCTGGTTTGGGGTTTGGTTCTCCTCCCTTTGTCAAGCTAAAAACAGGCAATACAATGGTACATATTATGAAAGCACTCAGTTGCAATTTTACGTGTTTATTTGATTTACTCGATAAAATTTAGTATTTTTATCTACAAACTTGACCCCTTTCCTGAGAACTCTCAAAATGTTGTGTGTGTGTGTGTGGTTTTTTTTCCCGTACCTAGATATATAAAAGATATGATTAGTTGGTAAACAAGCCAATTTTCTTTGCTTCTCTCCTCTGTTCTTTTTCGTGAGATGTGTGAATGTGGTTGATGCTTCGTCCTTGCTTTTCCCAGGCAATCTTCTTCGCTCTGGCGACACCAGAGGATACCAGTCGATGGCAAGAATGTATACCAGACTCGCAGCCATGCCCAAGAAAGGGTGAAGGGATGCTTAATTATTCTCTTGCAGCTTGCATGTAATCTAGTTTTCTCATCAACTGTTTGCTCTTGGATCTATTTGCTAGCAAGTAGAAACTTGTTCCTCTTGCAGCCTTCCATTAAACTGTCCTGGCCTTGGACTTCAATACTCTATTGTATTCTGAATTTATTATTGTCAGATGCCCTGCTATACATTCGAGGAATGTATCTTAACTCTTTACCACTACTGAGAAAGCAATAAATTTATTTTATCATTTAATCGTCTCGACTTTTTGCTAAACCTATTTTTTGGTTTGGTTGAGCTATTTTTGTTGAGATTGGCCGTGCCTGCTGTCAACTAGGCAATCAGTATCACGTACTCAAAACAGATATATAAGCGTAAGTCAATCCCAAGAAAGCAGCTGTGAGCAGCATAGAAGCTCTCGTTTGAGCAAGCCCTGACCATGCTAAAGCGAAAAATTTCTAGGCACCTTATTTACATGTCTAGATGTCCAACGCTGCTTCACTTATTGTCAAGGACCATATAGATTCTTTACAGATTCAAGCAGACCCGATAACTGTACAAGTATAGGTGTGTCGATGGAAAATGGCAAATGACAAAATTTAAGTCTTGGAACTCCCAAAAACATGTCATTCGACAGCAACCATAATTTATAGGACTATACAATCAAAATAACCAACAAAAATGAACTCAAAATGATTTTTCTTGGTCTTGTTGGTTTTCAAAATTCAGAAGTGACTGCTCTGGAATGACGTGGCAAAATGTTATAGGACGAGCTAGAAGAAAAGATTTCACAACCCGGTTAGTTCTAAGGTCCTCGACTCCTCGTGATTAGCATGCTTCAAAGATTCTTTTTGCCTTCCTGTTCTAGTTCTGTTTCTGCAATGTGAAATACGATCCAATATTATTATCGCAAACAGATTTTCAAACTGTAAAAACATAGAAACTGCTGCAATCTCGCATTGTTTTGAACGTGTTTAGCCATGGACACCCACAAAAGAGAAAGGAAAAACTGAAACTAAACATATTCGTAACAGAAGTAAAAATCCTGGTCGTCACTGAACTTTTACCAAGTTTTCATGTATTCAAAGTTGGTCACAGACTTGATCATTCTTACCATTTGGTTACTGAACTTAAAAATTTGTTACTATTTGGTCCTTCCCTCCATTACTGTTTGCCAAACTATCGAAAAAGATGAAGTGACAGTCTAGTTGGTACCCTAGTCAGAAAATAACTCAACTGCCACATGACCTATTTCAGTAGTCAAGCTAATGTACCTGGTGACCAAATTATAACAAAATCAAAGTTCAGTAACCAACTTAAAACAAAATGAAGTTTAGTGATCATTAACGTATTTAACCTACTTCCCACTCTTTTAATGTTTACTGGACATCACAGTGAAGTTGGGAAAATAGAAGACATGTCATCACCTTTTATGCTTCCACGAGTGATAAGTTTGTTGAGAAAACCACGAAACCTGGTTAATACAAGTCTTTCTTGTTCTGAATATACGTGGTCTGACCCATGCAAATTCATATTTGTCCTTGTATTCGATCCCGAAATACTAGATGGAATGTCGACTTTAGTGAACACGATATCGTTTTCATCACACATTAATGCAAGTGTTCCGGGAGACACTGGCCGTTCATTCTGAAATTCACCTGTAGTTGACTCTGATAAGGAAGTTTGAACTCCATTTTCATGGTTTCCAGGCAATCTCCGAGCACTGGGTTGCTTTTGAATGTCTGCAATTTCAGCTTTTTCCAAAGTGGCCTTATCAGTATTGCTTGTTCTCTTTTCTTCTGAAAACCAGAATGCAAAATATTAGATAAGTAAAGCCTAAATTTCACAAGGGATGTATCCATCCCATTTTTTCTAGTCACCTGAAGGTAGAAGATAAAAGTGGTAGGAGATTTACGGTACAGACCACTTCTTCTTTTAATAAGGCAATTTGTAAAGCACGGACACAGTCATGGACACAACACAAACATGTCCATCAAAATGATGCATTTATACACGTTATATATTTATCTTTTTACTTGTTTATTTTTTACAAAATCAACACTCTTTTTAGCTTTGATTTTGATTTTGGAGGTGAAATGTTTTGAATAAGAGTAGCAGTTGTATTTTGTATCACTTGCAAAAACAAAATCTAACTAATCATGCATCAAAAATTGCCTACACTGAATATAAACAAATTCAACCTCAAATTCCCAAAATTTTTCTCCCGCATTATTTTGATTTTTACCGTCACCAAAGTGTCAGAAGAGTGTTCATGCTTCATAGAAGGAAATGCAAGACAAAGTAGGATATTAAGCTCCTTGTCTATTCATATTATTCAGGGAGCACAATTTGTAAATTCAACTGAAAACTCATCCTTTAGTAGCCTCAAACTTGAATAGAATCCATATGACCAGAACTATTTCAACCTCTAGCTTCTACAAGGCCATCTTTCTGTTAACCCATCTTTAGAATGGTCAGACTACACATCTTTTCGAGCCCTTTTGCGTCCAAAACGTACTCTCTCGATCAAGTTGCTTCTCAGTGTTGTCTTTCAATCATATATAAAATAAATTTCCCTCTATGAAAAACTCTTGTAAAGGTATTTTGGGTGTACTTAAAAATTATGTGAACAATAACATAGAAACAACACACTGAGGCCACTTAAGATCACGTTGAGACACAGTGGAGGGCACTTTTAATCTCAAATGTAAATTAAAAACCAAAAACTTTGATTTTAAATGTTAGCACGACCAGTTTTCGGTGCCAAACGCTACTGAGTGGATGCACTCTCCCCAGCATTTTTTGGCATAAAATAATTGAAACTTTCCTACGCTAGTCTACATAATCATTTTAGAAAAAGATGAGATTCAGCAAGCCAAAATGATTATTAGAGCTTGAATTTACCTGAACGAGACTTTGCAGCTTCTGCTGAAACTGCGACTAAAAGTGAGCAGAACTCCTCAACATGTCGTGGTTGGAGAATTCCAGCCAGAGGAGACCTTTAAATCATAAGAAACCAGTCAAGATTCTGTTTTGAAAGGAAAATAGTGCGGCTGTTCATAACTTTTATTACCAGAGGAAAAAGAAATAAGTGGAATAATTTGAATTAAAAATTAAATCTATAACCAAAAAAGTTCCCAAAAAAAAATTACCTATAAGAGGATTTTGAAAGTCTGAACACTGCTGTAGACTTAGGTCCGGATGTGTGAACCGATGATGTGGAACAAGAGGCACCTGAAGTTAAACAAGTTTCCTGAATGAACAGAAAAATGTATGTTGAGAATGTCTAAAAGCTTAAAAGTTTACTTATTAAGTAAATCAGTTTTCAAAGAAATGATTTTCTATTGGTATAAATATTAAATTGGAAATAAGCAAGCTATTTATTTTAAGAGTAAAGATTAAAGAAAGAGTTACTTTCAAAATGAGTAACTCTTTCTATTTATAAGCAAGAAAAAGTAACAACATTTTTGGAAACAAAGTTACTTGAAAGTAACTAAGTAACTTTTAGGCTTAGCTAAACATGCTATTAGTTCTATTGGGCAGATACCTCATCAAATGCATGGTAATACTATCGTTGAACAGTTTGTCCAGCTTGCAATTGAATATGATAAAGAGTTATATCTTCAATATCAATGTTCTATCTTCTTCACAGTTGAGACCATGAAAAAGATGATTCACTTGGAGCATGTTTGGCTAAGCTTAAAAGGTTCAGATATGAGTAAATAAGTAAGTTTAGAAATAAACATTTCTTTTAATTGGTAAAAAAAGCTGGAAATAAGTCACTAATTGACATGAATTTAAGAGTTACTTCCATAATAATAATCCTTTTTTACTTAAAAGCAACAAAAAAGTAATATATCCAAATATGCACCGGATGAATTTGTGAAACCCTGCTATTGGATTGATTATCAGTTGTCGACCCAAAAACGATCTGCTGATTTCCATTTCTTTTGCTCTGTGATAATCCAAAACCAGATAGCCCAATGGCTTCATTAATGACAGCATTGGCTGCTTGTTGCATGCAGGTCATAGAATTCATAGGATGTCCATGAAAAAGAGCCTTTCTCTCTTCACTTCCTTTAAAGTTTTTACAGTCGAGGCATTTACAGTTTTCAGAGCATAGAATATTGGCTTGGAAGCACTCACAGTACTTCTTGAGGCATCCAGATTTTTTACAATTGCATCCTTTGTTATGTTTTCTTTCCACTGTAAGCTCACCTCCCTCTACCTGGATTTCTTTGAAACAGTTAGAAACAAGCAAATATAAATTAAACAATCAAAATGAAAATATATAATTATAATGATGTCAATTAAGAACAATAATTGCCATAATGTTATACTTCTTACTAAACTCACATTCATCTTTTGGGATTTTCCATCTTAACCTTTGAGGAGAAGAGATGAATATCTTGAAAAATTACACCCAAATACTCACGTAGAATTAGACTTATTAAAGCAGTAGCATCTTTTCTGTCTCTGCTGGAATTAGAAAGTCAACCCTCCTCGAAAATCTTCTTTGATGATACTTGAAATATTGATTCATATTGTCAAAAACTAGAAATTTGGCAAAGTATTTTCAAAATCTGTGAATTGAATACATTTTGTGCATCATCGCTATCATAGTTAAACGTTGACCGTGCTAGATAGTTTAAACCAGTGGAAAGAGAGATTACAAACAAAATGATGCTTTAATGAGCTTTACATTTCTTCTCATCAAAGAAAAATGCACACACTGTCAAAATTAGTTTCAATTGCCTCTCAATGGAGGGTTTTCATTTTATTATAAAGAAGAGAACTGCAAAGTACACAGCTGACTTACAAGTAATTAAAGTAATTTGTCTACTTAAATATGGTAAGAACTAATTAGCCTATATATAAAATACTAATTAGAATATATGCAGATTTGGACAAGAATAACCTCTAAATCAAGAGTTGCCATATCTGTCTAACATCTCCTCAAATTGATGCTGATCGTTGTGATCGATCAAGAAGAGTATCAATTTGTCAATCATGAATTGATGGTGGTGGCAAAATAAGACTGAAAAAAAAATTATTAGTCTGATGCTCGATGGAGATGCAAGGAAGTTTAATCTCATGTTGATCGAGGGCTTTACGAATAGATTGACAATCTACTTCAATATGCTTTATGCGATCATGAATTATTAGATTTGCAACAATCTGAATAGCACTGGTGTTATCAGCACGAAATGGCGTAGGAGAATTTGGGGGATACCAAGTTCACCTAACAAACCCGGAAGTCGTACGATCTCTGAACAGGCTAATGACATAAAGTTTCCAAAAATTGAAAGCATCACCAAGAAATATGCACAAACTAGTTTCTGAGCGATGAGAATCCAAACAACCCAATCAACATCATAATAATCCATTAACTGTAAGGAATTTCCAATGGAAAAAATAACCATCGACCAAATGTACCTTTGAGGTAACAAAGAATTCATCGAACAGCTGCTAAATGAGATTGACGAGAAGCCTATATAAGCTGACTGACTTGCTATACAACAAATGAAATATCAGATCGAGTAATCGCCAAATAGTTCAAACTCCCTATAAACCGTCGATACGTAAAAGTTCCATTAATGCTAACTAAGCTTTACATTGACCTCTAAATGTGTATGTACGGAATTTCAAGATTGAAGACTAGCTAAGGTGAAAATCTCTTGGGTACACTTGTGTTGATGCAAAAGGAGACCACTTGGACAATGATGCACCTCAAAACGAAGCAAATACTGAAGAAGACCAAGATCCTTCATATGAAGGGTAGTATTGAGATGCTGTTGTAGTTGCTCAATCAGCTGAGTATCAGACCTTGCGATGATAATTTCATCCATATATACTAAAATCAAAACAAGGCCAAAGGCAGTTCTCTTAAGAAATATAGAATAATCAAAATGACTTTCGAGTAGAATGAAAATCAAGCAGAGTGATACGAAACTTCTCAAACCATGCACACAAGACTTGCTTCAATCTATATAGAGGCCGCTTTAACCGACACACCTCAGTGGAAGAGTGAGAGAACATACTAGAAGGAGGACTTATATATATTTCCTCCTTCAAATCCATATGTAAAAATGCATTCTTTAAATCCATTTGCCAGAGAGACCATTCTTTAGAAGTGATCATTGCCATAATAGTCCTCACGGTAGTCATCTTCACAACAGGCACAGATGTCTCCTCATAATTAAGGCCATACTCCTGAAAATTCCCAAGAGCCACCAAACAGGCCTTATACCTCTCTATAATACCATCATGCCAAAGTTTGATGGTATATACACATTCGTATCCGATGAGCTTTACTCTATCAGGACATGAAAAGATGTCCCATGTATTATTATCCTGAAAAGCCTAAAGTTCTTTTTGAATATTTTGCCACCAACATGCATGTGTAGAAGCTTTAAAGAAATATTTAGGCATGGAACCAGTGTCAAGAGTAGCTTGATGAGTGTTATATGAGAACCCATACTTATTTGGAGGGCGTGAAACCGGAGAAGACCATCGAAGTTTAATGATGAAAGGATTAGCATCAGTTCTTTGTTAGAAATGAGCTGTTGAGACGGTAAAGAACGTCTCTGGTACACAAATTCGAGCCTAAAGCGTCAATAATACAAAACATATCAAACTAGTTGAATAGAAACAAAATCATAAATACCGTGAGATTGAAAAAAAAATATATATTAGGTTTCAAAGAAAATCACATTTCGAGAGATACGAAGCTTGTTAGCATCCGTATCATAATACATAAACCCTTTATGTGCATTACTATACCTTAGGAATGCACATCGAGCTGACTAAACAGCAAGCTTATAATGTTCGATGAAAGATAAATGGACAAAACAAACAAAACCTAATATATGAAAGGAAACAAACAAACGAGAGTACGACGACTCAAATTGTAAATTTTGAGAGCGGAAATGATTAACCAAATAAACAGTTGTGGGTAAAGTTTTTACCCACAATTTAGGAGGCACGGAAGATTCAATTAATAAAGTATTAATAACATCCAAAAGATAACAATTCTTACACTAAACAACCCCATTCTGTTTGGTATGCAAGGACTGGAACGTTGGGGAGAGAATCTCTTTTGTTTTGAGATATTCTTGAAATTCATTGTATAGTTAGAGCATAGTGTCTTAATACTAGCAAAAAATTGAGTCTCAACAAAGGTGTCGCGAAAATCCCTCGAGAAATCTTGATTTCCGGCTCAAAAAACAATCAAACAAACACCAGTTTACCTCGAATCGACCCAAACTTCCACACTTGGTTGCCACAAGATTTGCATCCACAAAGGATGGTGGTGGTGGTGGTGGTGGTGATTTGCAAGCCACAAAGGCAAGGGAAAACAAAGAGGTAGCAATGGTAATCACTCAACCAAGAAACGGCTCCTCACTATGTTTCTCTCTCTTCAAAATACACATACACCATCCACATCCGGTTGCAAAAAGAAGCATAATATATAGATTAGGTTTTAGGTTTGGACTTGTTCATTTAAATGGGCCAAAGGTATATCTCTCTCAATAGGCTAAGTTATTGGACCAACAATAATCCAAAACCACACACTAATCAAACCACCAATCCAACTCCAACTTGGGCCTTCCAAAACTGTCGGTCGTATTCGAGTCGAGCCAAGTCCATGGTGTCGATAAATTATTCGACAACTGTTTTAAATCATCACCCGAATTTATTGGGTATCAAAACCCAACAAATCTCCACCTTGAAGCCCAATAAATCTGCAAGCAATCAAAATACAAAATTTATACTTGCACAATCAAGATAATCCAATAAAATTGGAATCACGGATTTTACCTCGTGTTTCCAACCTGAATAATATATCATACTTGCTCCATTTACTCACCAGGGCTAAGATCAAGGGCACTCAAGTAAAAGCAGATATTCACAATAAACAATCAAGAGCGAATAAACATGCAATGGCGATATATTATAGGATCACACACAGATCATTTCAAAAAACACGTTCACACAGAATCACAGATTAACACCAAGTTAATCAAACACAAGGTCAAACACATATGCAACAAATGAATAAATGGCCCACGAAAAGATCTCACCACATTTATCCTATCTCATTCCGTGTTACTCACACTTCGAGAACACATATCTCTTCTCATCGCCCCTATGCTCACTAACCTGATCGCTCAACTCATGTTTTACTGGAAAGTCACAATAAATCCTAAGTCCACGGGGTAATCCTCTATCACCACATCACTTCACCCAACCTACGTGGATAATGGGTTTCCACTAAATAGAAGTGATAGAAGTGCCTCTCTCACACTCCACTGTACAGAATCTCTTCATAGATAAATGATTCCAACATTTAATCACCTCTCCACTCTAATTCAAATGTCACACTCCACATCCCCATGCATATCACCAATACACTTTCAGGCATCTATACTTCACCTCACCAAAAGACATACAACTCACTGCTAATGCATCTCAAACTCACTATGGCAAATCAACACCTTTCGACGACCACAAAGGTTAGGGCTCAATTTAAAATTGACCTACGCACCACAAGATTACTCCAATCACCAATGCTCAAAAAATCCACAAAGGAAATGGTGAAGGTGGCACTCGTAAAGAGAATAGAAGAAAGAGTTAGTTACTTCACTACACTCACAAAAGAGGACCACAAAGAGAAAGAAGATAACCTCACATGGCTGCCTCACACAATCTCACAAACCATACAAGCTCACAAAGATAAAGGAAAAAAGGTTGTCCATCTTTCTTCTCACTAACACTCACAAAGCAAACGAAGTACGCCGCAAAACTCAACCCACTATGCATGCAAACACATTACACAAAGTAATAAGATGACTAATTAATGCAATTACACACGTCAACCAAATTGATAGTGTAACATACCGACGAAACAGAATTAAGCAATCACATGCATGCAGAAAGGATTACACAGATGCAAATTCACTAACCAAGTTTTCTCTTAATAAACCTCACACAGGTCATCACTCGACCTTATAGCCACATTCGCCTCACCTCTCTCATTATCTTTTCTTTTATTATTATTACCAAAACCATCTATCTTAGCATGTCCAAATATTTTCACAGTCAAAACACATTTTTATTTTTCGCACTTGCCTTAGACCTATACACAGGGGCGGAGCTATGAAGGGTCCAGTGCGGGCATATGCCCACACTGAACTTTGGCTCATTTCCTTTTACACTTCAGTTCTGGGTGCCCACAAACTGGAAGGCAAAAAATCATAAAAGTGAGTAAATCATCAACAATGAAAAACACAAGAAGGTGCTAGCTGGGGTGGCGTTTCTGATATCTAATGGAGTTCCCTGCATGCTTACTGGAATATATATACATATGGAGTGTGAGAGAAATTGGTTGCAATCTTGCAAAGAATTGATAGAGTGAGAAGAGAGACAGAGAAAGTGAGAGAAAGTGGATTGAGTGTTGTTATAGAAAGAGACTGATCTTGCAACAAAGTGAATTGGGTGTTGTTGAGGTGGCCTGTATTGGTCTTTGATGAGAGAGTGTGTGTTTTGTTACAAAATATTACACAAATTTTCATAAATTAAATTATTTCTTTAATATTTGAATTTAACAATTTGATATTAGATAGTAGCAATCATAGATGAATTTTTGAGCTTTTCGGGTTCGTGTACAAATGGAAATTCTAGAGCTTCTATAAAATTTGTTTGATTATAAAGAAGTAAATTAAATCACGATAGAAAACCTAAAAGTCGTAGACGTAATGAAAAAGTTCAATAACAAAAAATTATACCACGTGACAAATTTACATAGAGTTTTATCTCAAAGGATGAGACCTACAGGAAGTAGTTGACGGGAGTGACAATACCACTAGACAAAATCATGGCTCTATAAAAGTAGATAATCAAAACGAGCACGGCTATGTTTGTCGTAAAGACAATAATCGAGAAAGAATTGTTAGAGCATGTAAATGATACGATCACATCAAAAAAAATATGCCCGCACTGAATAATAATCCTAGCTCCGCCCCTGCCTATACATGTTATTAATATCAAATAATGACCACAAGCAAAGTATAAATATAATTCACATAAAATGATTAAATAAACTTTCATAAGGTCACATGTAATTCTAACAGTGTAGAAAAATTAGCAACAAATTCACAAAGAATTTAAGGGAAATAATTCAT